CTGTCTGTTGCATTTTACATGATTTTCTTTTCAACTATTTTAGGATTGAATACATTTTCGGAGAACTTAACTCCATGTGTGTTTGTATCTGTACAATGCTAAAACCTAAACTCTGCTGTCTCTAAGCGAATTATATATTATGTCTGTCTATTGTCTGAGCTTTAGAGAAATAACAAGTTGAAACAATTATTTTCCCTCCTCAGGGTCATTATTGCAGGCACATAATTGTGCAGCTATGGATGGTCTTGCGTTTCTCCATGTTATCCATGTTGGTTCGATCCCCCAGCATCCCCTATTCCTTTTACACCTCCTGTACAAATGATGGGTTCCACCATCTTGTGTCATTCATTTCCTTTCTTACTCATAAGACCACCCACAATCCTGATTTTGCAAACCTACAAAAAAATGTACACACCCTTATCTCATGTCAGGATTTAACCTCTTTGAGTATCCATATTTGATCTCTGTCTCTCTTGTCTCTCTTGTCTCTTTCACATCCCCGAACAATTACCCTTACTTGGATCCCATTTTGCAGTGGTTGCGCTGTGCTGTGCTCTCTATAGAACGGAGCACGATCATACCTTAGAAATAGAAGAAGGCACAGTGAAGACCGTGAACTTTGACCTTTGTGTCTGAAAATGGTCTTCACACACTGATGAAGGCTCTTTAGCTGAAATCCACAGCAAGGAGAGGTGAGTGTGCATGTTCCTTTTTCATTTATATAGATTATACTTCATTAGCCAGCACTTTAACAACAAAAGTTTGTTTTTTCAGTCTTTGTGCACGTAAATGAAGTTTTAATAATACAGTACATTGTGAAAATACAAAAATAGATTTGTACGCTGTTCAGATGCTTGCTCTTGAAGCATTTACTGTAAATCATGTGTGGCTATTGTCTTTTCTTGGTATACACTTTACACCTGTAAAATATGCTGGCTATATACAGATGTAGGATCTTAATTTGATCACCCTGTTGCGGGAGAACTTTCCTGCAATGCAGGACATTTAAAACGTGTAGTGTATTTGAGGTTTAAAAAGGCTTCTGAAGTTTGTAATTTTCACTTTGAAATTTCAGACTTGATTTTCCCTTCCAAAAAATATATCAACCTCAACAAAAATGTCCATTAATTATAATCCACATAATAATTCACATTTCCTGTTGCTGCAGGAAAACGTTCCAGCTGTAGCAAACTGGCTCAAATTAAGATCATACATCTGTATGCGTCATACTACTTTGAACTACGTAATCAGACATATCCATATCCTGTTTATATTTTCCTGTGTTAGTGTGTTTGTGTGTGTATATGCCTACACTGTAATATGTACATGACGGTGTCACACCCTGTATCCACACATTCATTACCAACACTGCAATATTGCAGGAGCTCTCCCCACCCCCAGCCCCCCTTACCCATTAACTGACACCCAAACAGATTTGGCCGACCCACTGACCCCTCCCCCACCACCTGACCCCGGCGACCTAGGAGCCATGGCAACCCTCTGACCCATCCTCCTGTTGCCAAGGAAACAACCTTGGAGCATGTCTGACCATACCCTCCCTTTTCCCCCCTCAATGACGCGCCGAGGCGAGCGATCGATATTCTATCACACAGAACAGTGGAGCGGGAGAGAGGGGGGCACGGTGTGGGGAGATTACAGGGGGGACGGCTGCCAAAGAGAGCCCCTGTGTGTGTATGTGTGTGTGTGTGTGTGTGTGTGTTTTGTGTGTGTGTTGTGTGTGTGTGTGTGTGTGTGTGTGTGTGTGTGTGTGTGTGTGTGTGTGTGTGTGTGTGCTATGGTTAGTGTGTGTATGTGTGTGTGTGGTCGTGTGTGTTTGTGTGTGTGTGTGTGTGTGTGTGTGTGTGTGTGTGCTATGGTTAGTGTGTGTGTGTGTGTGTGTGTGTGTGTGTTCGTGTGTGTTTGTGTGTGTGTGTGCGCATTATAATGAGCTGACATATTTGTGCTGTGCTGAGAGGTAGCTAGCTTTAAGGCATGTTTTGCTATTCTATGAAGCAGATGCTACTGCTTGCGTTTGTGAATTGTGTTTTATTGTTATGAGGGGTGGGTAGAGATAGTGTGAGCTCAACAATTAAAGATATGTATTGCGTTTCAAAGGCTCACAAAGGCCCCTGGCTCCAGGAGCTGCTATAGTAATTTATGTGCTGCAACAATCAAGGGTTTTATGTGCCCATTTGGGTGAAACTGGTTTCTAGTAATTGATGGACAATGGAGAGAGATTATAAGACAGTCTCTTGAGAGAGAAGGTCTAGAAAGCTGGATCCAGTGCAAACGGGTTGACCTATATCCCCAGGATAGAGGTGTGTGTGTGTGTGTGTGTGTGTGTGTGTGTGTGTGTGTGTGTGTGTGTGTGTGTGTGTGTGTGTGCACAATGGGCAAGCCATCATTGGCTCCCTTAGCCCTGTAATAGTATTCATGAAATACAAACTCTCCCTCTCTCCCTCGCTCTCTCTCTCTCTCTCACACACACACACACACATTCAGAAGCCCATTACTAGAGCAAACACACACACACACACATCGCCGTAAAACTTATGAGATACATAGTTAAAACCTTTAGAAATGAATGCTCTGCAATAACAAGGGACCTTCATATACCCCTTCAAATAAAGTGATGAAGTATGACTGTTTTTATGAGGCCTGGTGAGTGAAGGCTTTATTGAATATACTAGAATCAAGCTCTTGATCTTCTATGGTTCCTTAAGTATTAATCTCTCATAGTATATTGCAAAGTGTGTTGTTTTAATTGAAATGTATTTTTCTAAAAAGTGTTCACTTTTCAGGAATTTCATATATTTATAGGCTACATATAATGACTTAATATTCACAAATATTCAGGACTCATATCTTCATAAATATCTATTATATGTACAGTGATGTAAGGTACTTAAGTAAAAATACATTAAAGTACTACTTAAGTAGTTTTTTTTTGGTATCTGTACTTTACTATTTATACTTTTGACAACTTTTACTTTTATTTCACTACATTCCTAAAGAAAATAATTTACTTTTTATTCCATACATTTTCCCTGACACCCAAAAGTACTCGTTACATTTTGAATACTTAGCAGGACAGGAAAATGGTCCATTCACGCACTTATCAAGAGAACATCACTGGTCATCCCTACTGCCTCTGATCTGGTGTTGGAGTGTGCCCCTGGCTATCGGTAAATAAATAAAAAACAAGAAAATGATGCCGTCTGGTTTGCTTAATATAAGCAATTTGAAATGATTTATACTTTTACATTTACTTTTGATACATAATTATATTTTAGCAATTACATTTACTTTTGATACTTAAGTATATTTAAAACCAAATACTTTTAGACTTTTACTCAAGTAGAATTTTACTGTGTAAATGTCATATTTACCTGAATCATTTTCTATTAAGGTATCTTTGCTTTTACTCAAGTATGAAAATTGGGTGCTTATTCCACCATTGTATATGTATATGTTTTTTTAGGACTTATATGGCTTCCATATTACTAGCTACAGTGTACCAGGATCTACATGGGAGGGAAAACAGCAATGGATGTACAGCAATGTAACACCCTGGTGGTGTATAGAGAGGATGTGAGCATCATCATTTATGCCATATGTATTCCATTGAGGTGGTGAGTGGATACCTATGTAATGTTACTTTATCTATATTATTCATTAGCATATTTCCATGACTTGATTTGATTTTTCATTCTTTTTTTTGTGCCTTTAAAAAAATATATATATATTTTCCCAACCATGATGAGGGTAGGTAGAGCAGAATAATTGTGTGCTGTGTGAAAATAAATGTATTAAGAAGAAGTGACGCTCACTCACTATCAGTGCTCATTGCAGACAACCCTTCAATCCCCCTGGTATGTAAATCGAGACATTCTGTCTGCCTTAAAGTGGTATCAGGAGAATTGATAGTGTGAAAGATGTATTTACAGTCTCTGACAAACCCCACAGACAAAAACACAAACTGAGACCAAACTGAAAAAAGAGATCCTTATGTTTTATTTATTTTCTTGCTGCTTTTTCACATGTAAGGTAGTTTCTTATTCCATTTTTCACTTATTTAAATAATGAAATGGAATAGAATACAGAAAGATTGTTGTATTTTTTCAACAGGGGTGAGTTGGGGGAGGGAGGGGGGACGTTTACTAGGACAGGGGAAGTCGCACGGGGCTCACAAACAGACAGACAAACAGGGATGGACAGACAAGCAGCTCTCAGACCTACTCCTAACATAAAAAAGAAATCCTGAAATTTTACGAACAATTGTTTCAAAAAATGATCGAAAACAACAACAGAAAAATAGGAGGGGGGGGGGCACACGGGCAGGAAGATTTTATATATATATATATATATATATATATATTTTTTTTTTACCCCTGTAGCGGGCGTGACTGATTATTCCACGTTTACTGGTGTCATTGGTGGGATCCTTCTGTTATACCCATTGGGCCAAGGAGTGGTGGGAGTGGCTGGAGGGGCATGTTAAGTAGAAGATTGGTGGATGGAGTGAGCGTGTCGAGAGGGTGGCGGGGTGGAACAGGTGACAACGACGCCACACCGCTCGCCGTGGGATCTAGATGCAGCTACCATTTTGTTGTCGATAGAGGAGAGTGATACCGGTATTTTGTACATTACAGTGTATTAGCACATTTATGAACAGTGTCATAACAGTATAGTAGACATTAGAAGAGTATTGGCAGTGTTGACTATGCTGTAGTCTTTGGGCAGAAAAAAAGGCAGCGAGACGGAGAGGGGCGCAGGGATCTGGCGTGATCGTCCTGTTCCTCTCCTCCTCTGTGGTTGGTCCTCTTGTCCTCAAGGCGATGTTGGATGAAAATACGGGATGGCGAACGGATGAGTTTTCAGATGCGGTTTCTTGTATGGTTTGTATGTGATTAGAGGGAAGGGTGGCGGTAGGGAAGAGAGAAGGAGGGGAATGAATTTAGGGGAGGAAGGGGGAGAGAAGTAAAGAATGGTTTGATAATTTAATAGTATGTCTCTTTTTCCACCCAGCCTAAAGAGAAAGGAAAGAGAAAAGGAAGGGAATAGAGAGAAAGAGAGAGAAATTATTTTTAATTGAAACAGCAAACATTTGTATCAAAGGCAGTGGTGGAAAAAGTATCCAATTGTCATACTTGAGTAAAAGTAAAGATTCCTTAATAGAAAATGACTCACGCAAAAGTGAAAGTCACTCAGTAAAATACTACTTGAGTAAAAGTCTAAAAGTATTTGGTTTTAAATATACATAAGTATCAAAAGTAAATATAATTGCTAAAATATACTTAAGTATCAAAAGTGAAAGTAAAAGTATAAATCATTTCAAATTCCTTATATTAAGCAAACCCAACAGCACCATTTTCTTGTTTTTTAAAATTTTGTAGCATTATGTACAACAGTACCCACAATGCTCTGTAAAAGATACCCGGTTCTATCTTAGTAAATGTTAGTATGGGTACTTTAGTACATCATACTACACATTTGTGTGAGTACAGTAAGTGTATTAGTGAGAGATTAGTACCTCCGGGGTTCCGGCGCAGGATGAGTTTTCGGATCTCATCGTAAACAAAGATGAGGAAACTGTACGGGAATGCACAGAACCACCAGCTGGGCCTGAGAAAGAGATGGATGGAGAGAACAAGGAATAAAAAGCCAGAGTGCCATTCAGTTGAATGAATAATAGTCCTTAAAGAGGAAATTATTTCCCCATTAATGGATTGAAATAGTCTCCAGTCCATTGTTATTTATTTTGCTCATTTGCACCCCAGTATCTCTATTTGCACATCATCTTCTGCACATCTATCATTCCAGTGTTAATACTAAATTGTAATTATTTTGCACTATGGCCTATTTATTGCCTTACCTCCATAACTGACTACATTTGCACACACTGTATATAGATTTTCTATTGTGTTATTGACTGTATGTTTTGTTTATCCCATATGTAACTCTGTGTTGTTGTTATTTTTATCACACTGCTTTGCTTTATCTTGGCCAGGTCGCAGTTGTAAATGAGAACTTGTTCTCAACTGGCTTACCTGGTTAAATATAGGTTAAATAAAAACACAAAAAATAAACACAGTGGTACTTTACTGTCAATTAACTGTCATATTAACGACACTCAGTAGAGGGTGCTGTTGCTATGTGTGAATGAGAACAGAGGATGGAGTACTCACTTGAGGGGGTACATCCTGAGAGCCACGTCCATGCCTGGGGTGTAGGACAGGAAGGCAGCCAGGGCCGTCTCCTCAAACAGCCCAAAGATCAGGATCTTATTCCTGTAAACAAACAAATAATGCATCTCAACATTTATACTAGCTATGAGAGACATAAAGTAGAGGTGCTTCTTAACCCTACAAAATCTGAATAGAGAAAAGAAGAGGTCTGCTATTTAGTCATGCTAAAGTGTCATTAGAAGACAGGTGCAAAGATAAAGGGTTTTGACCTCATGCCCTGCTGGAAGACAGAGTTGCGCCTGGTCTTGCAGATGATGACATCAGCCCACTGTACCACCACAATACTGACGAAGAAGGCCGTGTGACAGGTGTACTCCACTATCTTCCTCTGTTCATAGGTCTGGCATGGGAGGGAGAGGAAATCACAAGGAGGGAGAGTTAAAGAGTGAACGAGAGCAGAGGTAGAGGTGCCTAAGTGGAAAGTTGTGGTGATGACTAAGTGGAAAGTTGTGGTGATGACTAAGTGGAAATGTGTGGTGATGAGCAATTAATTTAATGAGACTAATGAGGACTGGATTAAATAAAATGAAATGAAAGAGTGGTAAAAAAAAGTTAGAGTGAGTAAAGACGAGAGAGTAAATGAAAATGAGAGACAGAGAGAAAGAATTTTAAAAAACTGGAGAGAAAAAAGGGGGGAAATTATGAAAATGGAGGGGAAAAAAGAGAAAGGAGGTATAGCGTACCCATTGCTGTCCGTAGCTGTCTTCTAGGTCGTTGTTGGAGCGGTCGTCCCAGTTTAGCCTGATGCCCACCAATAAAGAGGGAAGGAAACCATTCTCCGCCAGGATCACAAAGTAGGAGAAGAACCCTCCCAGAGCCTGGATCATACCTACAAAGACAGAGAGAGGAGAGGAAGATGTGTTAGCTTTATCTATGATGCCCATAGAAATAGAATTAGAATTAGGCCGGGAGTCAAGCCAATGTAGACTAAGGACCTGAACACAGAGATAGACTTTTAAAGACCCACCAATCTGTCCGTAGGCAATACTGATCAGTCTCTCGTTCACCAGTTTGTCCCTGGCTGGGTTTCTGGGCTGTCTCTTCATAATGTCACTCTCTGCTGCCTCGTAGGCAAGGGAGATAGCTGGCACCTATAGACAAACAGTTGGGTTAGGAGAAGACAGTGGATATCAATACACATTCAAATAGACTGACTCTCTTTGTGGCGCAAAGGACAACAGACCAAACCACACGCTTGGATAAGATGACTGACCTTCGATTCAAATTGTATTTTTAATCTTCAAAGTGTATAAATTGAACAAACTACAATTTGCCTGTGTGTGTGAGCATGTGCCATGCATTGGTGGGTGGGTGTATCTCACCATGTCGGTTCCCAGGTCGATACAGAGGATGGTGATGGTCCCTAGGGGCAGTGGGATGTTGACCAGGATGAAGAAGAGGAAAGGAGTGATCTCAGGGATGTTACTGGTCAGGGTGTAGGCAATGGACTTCTTCAGGTTGTCAAAGATCAGACGACCTGGAGGGGCACAAGAGTAACGGCTTGTATAGGCTACCCCAGGACGACATCATTATACTGTATATCGTATTTTCAAACAACGGGCTCATATTACAGATAAGTTATCTTTCGAACCAGCACTTTTCTTTTGTCTCTAAATATTCAATTTCCTCTCTTTTCTTGACTTCTTCTCTCCTCTCGCTGACCTTTTTTACTCTCTCCATCCTACCCGTCATTCACACCACCCTCTTTCTCTCCTTCATTTTCTTCCTCCTTACAGATGTAGGATCTTAATTTGAGCCAGTTTGCTACAGCAGGAAAAAAATCCTGCAGCAACAGAAAATGTGAATTATTGTGTGGATTATAATTAATGGCATTTTTGTAGGGGTTGATAAATTTTTCGTAAGGGAAAATCAAGTCTGAAATGTCAAACGTCAGAAGCCTTTTTAAACCTCAAATACATTACAAGTTTGACATTTCCTGCATTACAGGAAAGTTATCCTACAACAGGGTGATCAAATTAAGATCTTACATCTGTATACCTCTTTCCCTCCTACCTTTTTTCCTCCCTGCTTGTTTCCCTCTTTTTCCCTCCCTCCTTCTCTTCTTTCCTCACTCCTTCCCTCCCTCTCTCTCACCCTCTTCCACTCCGGTGACAATGGAGGCAAAGTTGTCGTCCAGCAGGATCATATCAGCGGCCTGTTTGGACACGTCTGAGCCGGAGATCCCCATGGCGACACCGATGTCAGCCTTCTTCAGGGCGGGAGAGTCGTTCACACCATCACCAGTCACAGCCACGATGGCACCCTGAGAGACAAGGGGGGGGGGGGGGGGGGGGGGGGAGTGGAAGAGAGTCCAGCTATAAGAACCTCCTCATTATCTACTATGATGGAATATAAAGTACTGTAGTGTTTCTTTAGCTTTCTCTACTTTAAAGTATCTAAGTATAAAAAGGCAGATGTGTCTGTGTAAAGTAAACATGAGCTTGTGTGTGTGTGCAAGCATAATGTGCGTGTTTGCACTTGTGCCCCTCACCTGTCTCTGGCAGCCCTCCACGATGATGAGTTTCTGCTGGGGGGAGGTTCTGGCGAACACAATCTCAGTGTGGTTCCTCAGGATGTCATCCATCTGGTCCTGAGACAGGTCCTTTAGGTCTGTACCATGGATCACACACGCCTTGGCATCCCTGCAACACACACACAGGAAGACAGTGAGTGAGAGTATGTTTGGTATCGCTGAGACCCACACAGAAATGCAGAAAGTTAGTGTTTTTGGTGAATAAGTGTATCCAAGCATGTGGGTGTGAGTAACTGACTGAGTATCTGAGTGACTGAGTAAATATATTTGTGTGAAAGAGAGATAGATAAAGTATGTTCATATGCACCATTTCGTACGTATGCATTAATGTTTCTTAAAAATATATACATTGTTTTTTTTGGTCAATGTACAAATACAATAAGGCATAACGTACATTGAAATAGGTACAACATAGCTAAATAAACAAACCAAAATACAAAAGCAAATAAATAAACAATAAGAAAAAAATATATAGGCTACAAATGAGGCAGAAAAAAATATTTCTGAAAAACAATAGGCAAAGGCTGTGTTTTTATGCATCTACCTTTACGAATATAAAATGTTCCAAAATAGGTAAAACAGTATATGTTCACATACACACTCCTTCCTCATAGCTCTTACCTGGGGTTGACCTGGCTGACGGGGATATTGAGGCGAGAGGCGATGTCCTCCACTGTCTCATTGCCCTCGGAGATGATGCCCACACCCTTAGCGATAGCCTTGGCTGTGATTGGATGATCGCCGGTCACCATGATGACTTTGATGCCAGCGGAGCGACATTTACCCACGGCGTCGGGCACGGCAGCACGGGGAGGGTCAATCATGGACATGAGGCCCACGAAGCACAGGTTTCTCTGGGTAAGTTGACGTGTCACAGCGAAGGCAAAGCCCCTTGGGGTATGGTCTCGGGCATTAGCAGGTGGCAGAAACCTAGGGAGTGACAGTATTAGATTGCTATTATTATTATTATTAGTATTAGTGTATGCATTCTGAAGGATTGAGATAAACGTTGCATGAAAAAAACCAAGAGGAGAAGAAAGAGATGAGCGAGAGAGAGAAAGAGAGCAGAGGAGAGAGAGATAGAGAAGATCGATCAGAGAGAGAGAGAGAGAGAGAGCTAGAAGAGCGACGAGAGAGAGAGAGAAGAGGAGAGAGTCTGCGATACTCGAGAGATGAGTATTCTCTCTCTCATCTCTCCTTCCCTATCTATCAAGTCCTAATGAGCTCTCTCGTATATCGTACTAGCCTCTCGCTTATCTCTACTCTCTCTCTCTCTCTCTCTCTTCCAGCGAGTACTCTCCCTCCCAGTCCTCCCAGCTCCATGTAAGCGTTCTGGAACTTTCTATACCTCCCGCCCACCCTCTCGTTTATCCAGTACTCCCTCCCTCATCCCCCCCGCTGTTCTCTGTCCCTCTCTCCCTCCTGTCTCACCGAGTACTCTCTCTCCCAGTCCTCCAAGCTCCATGTAGGCATTCTGGAAGGCCTCCTTCATCTCCTCATCCATGGGCTGCTCCTTGCCCTGGATCAAGATGGTGGAGCAGCGGTCCAGGATCCTCTCTGGCGCTCCCTTCATCACCAGAAGGTAGCGGTTGTCGTTCTCATCCTCTGTCTCATGCACAGAGAGCTGGGGGAGGGGGAGGGGGAGGGGGAGCACAATCACACACTTGTGTTCAGCCTCTTATACAAACTCCTTATACAAACTGCTTTTATAAGGATTTAGAAAACCCTTGTTTTCCCTAACCCTAGCTTCAACCCTAACCCAGACTAGGAACCCTGTTATGTCTGCAAAGCATATGCATGCCTCCTGCTTAGTAAAAATTGTAAAACATTAGGGTCTCTTTTGTTTGACCGTAAAAGGAGGCATGGCCTAGTTCAGGACAGGGTTAGTAATAATTATATTTCTGTGATTTAGGATCTACATATATGTTAATGACAATCTTTTACTGAAGCAGAACCAGGTAAGACCAGGGTCAGACCCACCTCTAGAACTAGGGCCGTACGTATCAAGCTGATTCAGGATCAGTTTGGCCTTTTATAACACAATTAATAAGATCACATGGATAGGTAGAACCTGATCCTAGATCAGCACTCCTACTCTGAGACATTTGATACATACAGCCCCAGGGATCCAGGGTGTGCACTTGTTCTCCATATTGGTCACTCACCTGGTACTTGTTGGTGGAGTTGAAGGGGATCTCGGCCACCTTCTTGTTCTTCTCCCTCATCTGTCGAACGCTGCCACAGGACAGCTCGATACATTTCAGCAGCGCGGACTCAGAGGCGTCACCCGCCACGTCCCTCTTCAGGATGGGCAGCTGATCCTGAGCCGCTTTGAACTGCGCCCGGTTACACAGGGCCGCCACGCGCGCCAGAGCCAACCAGGTCTCCGAGCTCTTGTCGAAGGAGGCGCCTGGGGAGAAGAGAGGGAGGGAGAATTGTTAGTGACAGACACATGGTTGTTGCATTCATGTGCTCACAGGCAGCCCTGAAGCCCTCATCAAGGCCTGCATAAATACACATACTATCATTAAAAATGCAAATCCTTTGCTACAAGATGTTACAAACAACATAAGGCCCATCTTTGATGGCCTAGTTATTCCCTAACACAGTGGTCTGAAACTTCTGGCTCGGGTGCTACATCAGGCCTGCAAGCCACATTATGCTGGTTTGCCAAATTATATCTACTGTAATTCCAGAGACTACAAGACTGTCTAAATCACCTAAACTGGCGCCACAATCTTAATAACTGTGATCACAATATGCATACCTAAGATGTATTTTCTTTGATATTATGTAGTAAGAACATAAACAATGAGTTCAGTGAACTTAAACCCCTGTCTCTTACCAGACTGGTCCTCAGTGGTGTCAGCCTCGTGGATCTGGTTGTCAAACCACATGTGGGCCACAGTCATCCTGTTCTGGGTCAGGGTGCCAGTCTTGTCAGAGCAGATAGTGGAGGTGGAGCCCAGGGTCTCCACAGCCTCAAGGTTCTTCACCAGGCAGTTCTTACGAGCCATACGCTTAGCGGTCAGGGTCAGACACACCTGAGAGAGAGAGAGAAGAAGAAGAAGAAGAAGAAGAAGAAGAAGAAGAAGAAGAAGAAGAAGAAGAAGAAGAAGAAGAAGAAGAGAAGAAGAAGAAGAAGAAGAAGAAGAAGAAGAAGAAGAAGAAGAAGAAGAAGAAGAAGAAGAAGAAGAAGAAGAAGAAGAAGAAGAAGAAGAAGAAGAAGAAGAAGAAGAAGAAGAAGAAGAAGGGAAAAGGAGAGAGAGAAAAAAGAGAGAGAAAAGAGAGAGACAGAGAAAGCAACAGAGATTGGGAAAAGAAGGCAGGATGAAAGAAAGTAAAAAATAGAAAATGAGAGAAAAGATTAGTACCAAATCATAAAAGTAAAAACATGGGGAGCACAACTCCAGGTGTATACACCCTAGACCCTCAAACCAAGCAACAACTTACTTGCATCTACAGATAAGAAACCCATGACAAACCAATACAAGGTAACTACACACCTACCCTTGAGACCTGGAGTTGTGCAAACCCCCGTCATTCCACATCCCCTGCTCCCCACTACATTAAAATGCACTAGAGCCAATCAAATACTACAGTATATTTCACAGCCCAGAAGAGAAATGAAGAAAGATAGAAAGCAAGAGAAGGAAAGCCAAGCACAGAGTAAAAGCAGTGAAAGGCGGGCGCCGGTGTATCATGCTACTTTCAAAATGGCGGAACATATCATGGCACATACAGGCTACTAGCCAAGCAGCGAGAGTGGCAAAAGCCTAGCATTTACATTAACATTAGCCTAGCATATATCAGTCTCTCTTAACAGTTGTCATAGAAGACAACTGACCAGGGGGAGTCACTGACACTGAATGACCCAGGTGCAGAGAGAGCCTGAAAAAGAGACAGACACAAAGAGGGAAGGAGAGAAAAAGAGAGAGATATAGGTACACAAAACACAACGGCTGTGGAGAGAGAGAGAGGGAGAAAAAGAGAGAGATACACTAACAGAGATATGATACACCACCACAACCATCACAGAAGACACATAAGCCTCTATTATTACAGAAAGATGCATAACCACACAACGATACTGGAACACATGGAAATATTAGCACAGAGATAGAACACACAGAGTAAGAGACAGACAGACAGACAGACAGACAGACAGACAGACAGACAGACAGACAGACAGACAGACAGACAGACAGACAGACAGACAGACAGACAGACAGACAGACAGACAGACAGACAGACAGACAGACAGACAGACAGACAGACACAGAAGTACAACACAAGACACCAAAAGCAGAACACACACAGAAAAAGCAGAACACACACAGAAAAAGCAGAACACACACAGAAAAAGCAGAACACACACAGAAAAAGCAGAACACACACAGAAAAAGCAGAACACACACAGAAAAAGCAAAACACACACAAACATACACTCCACTCCTCACTACCCCCAACTACCCTTTGCAACCCCATCCACCACACAACACAACACAAAAATCCACCAAAGTATCCCCTCACAGTGACAGTAGCCAGCAGGCCCTCGGGCACGTTGGCCACGATGATGCCGATGAGGAAGATGACGGCCTCCAGCCAGCTGTAGCCCAGGCAGACGGCCAGGATGAAGAAGGTGATGCCCAGGAACACGGCCACGCCTGTGATCAGGTGGATGAAGTGCTCGATCTCCTTGGCGATGGGGGTCTTGCCCGACTCCAGGCCGGAGGTGAGGGTGGCGATACGGCCCATGACGGTACGGTCGCCGGTGCACACCACGATGCCACGCGCCGTGCCTGGTGACGGAGAGGAGGAGAGAAGGAAGTTAGATGACTTTACTTACATGTTATATTAGTGTATCGTCAAAGATTTGCAATACCATGTTGTGTAAAATGATGGTGAGTTACCCCCATACAATGCAAAGCACTGAGTTTGAGAAAAATGCAAATCAAATGTTTTTAATAATCATTTTTGTATCACTCCCTTACAGTAAATGGCCCTAAAGTAACCATTCAAAAAAAAATGAATATTGAGCTGCTGAAGTGTTCTTTACTGAAATACCACTGAAGTATAAGCGTCTGCTAAATGACTAAAATGTAAAATGTAAGTATTTATTATCGCCACCAGTGCAGGTGCCATGTTCTGACCACATGGGGCTGCTCTTGGTGAGCGGCTGCTCTTGTGGTCATTGTCACGAAGCCACAGCCGTTCCACTCGCCTTAGAAGTTTACAAAGAGAAAGTGTAGGCTATATAGAAATAATGACACTCAAATTGAAAATCATTAAACAAAACAATAAGGATTTATGTGTGCCTAATCGAGGTGTAGATTAAATTGTAACACGGCTGCATGGGATTTCTACTAATGCATCCAATGGCAATGTACGCGGCAGGTATAACGCACGGGCCGATTTGACAGCTCCAACGCAGTTACACCTCCGACATTGCCTAAACAAAAGCAAAGACATGCTATGCAGTGTCGGTTACCGCGGGTTAAAGCTGAACTGATTGAATCCAGACCTTAGCCATTTATGTCTGTCGTCCTCTATTGACAATACCATTAGACCACTGAACCATAGGGAGGCGGTAAGCTAATATTGACACCAGATGGAGTGTTCTCAAAGATGAAGCGATATGGACAGATGGGAAGGAAAAGGCAGCCAGGGAATTCAAAGAAGAGGGAGGAAAAGAGAGGTGAAAGGAAGAAGGAGAGAGAGACAGAGTGTGCGTGGGCGCTGGGTTGGGTGCTTGTTAAAATGGTGGGTGCCTTGTTGCTATGGCAGCCAGCATTTTCCCCTTCAACCCGTTCAGGGGTGGATAAAGAGAAACGGAGGGAAAGAAAGAAAACACAGGAATGGAAAGACACATGTAGAGTGATGGGGCAATGATGGTTATGAGGAAAACAATGATGATGATGATGATGATGATGATGATGATGGTGATGAGAAGAAGGAAATGGGTCAGGAGGAAGAGAAGGAGGGAGATGAGGATGATGCAGTTGACAAGACGACCATACCTTCAACACAGTTGGTGGAGAAGAAAGCGACATTGCGGGTCTCCAGGGGATTGTCATGGGTACAGTCAGGTGACCTGCTCTGGGGTTCTGATTCACCAGTCAGGGAGGAGTTATCCACCTATAGGAGAAGGACAAAATCCAAGGAACTTGTTTACAATTTAAAAAAGCTTGTATGTAAAATGTGTAGTTGTGTGAGTGTGTGTTATATTTTAATGTGAGCTATGTATGTATATGTGTGTGTGTATGTGTGTGTCAGCTTGTATTACTATCCTTGTGGGTACAGGAAATCCTCAAAAGTCCCCACAAGGATAGTAAAAGAAGAAACATATTCCAAAGGTTATTTTAAGCTTAGTGGTTAGGTTTACAGTTAGGATTAGGGTTAGAATTAGGGTCAGGTTTAGGAATTAGTTTTTTTAAATAGGATTTTGAACGGAAATAAATGTTTAGGTCCCCACAAGGATAGTAAAACATATGCTGTGTGTGTGTGTGTGTGTGTGTTTACCTTGCAGCCATGAGCAGAGACGATCCTGAGGTCGGCGGGGATCCTGTCTCCTCCCTTCACCTCAACCAGGTCTCCAGCCACCACCTCCTCAGCGTTGATCTGCATCTTCTCACCCTCACGGATCACCAGCGCTTGCTTTGGACAGAGGAACCCCAATGGTGAAGTAGGAACCACAAACCAACCATTAACTGACTATACATACAGGTGTAACACTGGGGTAACAGTAAAACCAACCACACACTATCACTGACCATAAACTAACTAGTAATTATGGGTTTTTATGTTATAACATGTAATTGCATAGAGATTGGCAGATAAATAGTAGACTGTAAAGTAACCAACTAACCATTGACTGACCATTGACACTGACCAAAGAAGGACTCTGGATAGAAAATGTGTACCTGACCATGGTTACAATGGCCACAACAATGTAGGCTATGTGGGTTTTCAGGGGGGAACATATGGATTAGGGTCACAGGTTATTTTGAGTCACTGCCACAACTTCCCCACACCCATAGTCATCTAGAAAAACAAGTTTGGATTAGAATTTGTAAAACACTTATGATGGGACTAATAGGATTGGAATGAGTATCACAGACACTGAGCCCTATGGTCAGAGATCATCAACTAGATTCAGCCGCGGATGATCGGGGGGCCGGAACATGATTACAAATAATTTGTAGACTGCAAATTGACCGCAAGAAACCCAAACATATATAACATTTGACTAATACATAATAATTTCAAACCTTGCTTACATTTGTATATGATCACACCTATCTATATATTCTGTGTGGGAATACTTTGGAACAGATTTCCATAATTAAAATCACTTGCAGCTGATTTGGTGGTGTTTTTACTGTCTTTTATGTCCGACAATAAACAATAAAAAAAAAGAACTTGGGGGGCAAATAGAAATCAACTGCGGGCCAAATTCTGCCTGCAGGCCGCTAGTTGAGGAACCCTGCTATAACTGGTGGGAATGTAGGAGACAATAGGATAGGGTGGTAAGGAGATCTAAGAGGTTTGTTTACCTGGGGCACCATGTTCTTGAAGGACTCCATGATTTTGGAGCTCTTTGCCTCCTGGAAGTAGGAGAAACAGCCGGTGATGATGACCACAGCCGAGAGAACGATACCCAGGTACAACTGGAGAGAGAGAACCCAGCAAACAATGTAAAAAACAAACAGTATTGGAACATTTTATACAAAAGTTCTTATAACTATTATGTCCTTCTACTAATGTTTATCAAATAACGTTTTCCCAGGACATTTTAAAAGCATTCATGGGATGTTGTCATGCTAATGTTAGCTGAAAACCAAATTGGGACTCCATTGGAACGTTACCTAACGTTGCAGGAACGTTCACTATTTGCTGGGAAAATATATATATAACTTTATTGTTTGATAATGTTATTATGGTGCCTAGCTTTTTAATGAATTTAGGGTTGGTTGAACTATATAGCTGGATCTAAAATGCCACATGCCATGCAGGGTTGGGGTCAATTCAAAATTGAATTGAGAATGGCTGATCAATTCCAATTCAGTTCTTGAATTCTTGTTGAAATAGTACACAGGATGCAGAATTATTTGAATTTGATTTTGAATTAATGGAAATATATAGGATAGGAAGTAAATCATTGATAAATTCAATGAAATTCGTTGAAATTCAAATGCCTCATTTAGTATTACCCACGTACAACTGGAGAGAGAGGGCAAGGAGAGAGAGACAGAAATATTGTTTAACCATTTATCATTTTAGATGGTGTCTATATTTCCCATTCATTTGGGATTGGTTGAAGCATATAGCTGGATCTAAGAAACACATGGGACTTTGACTCATCTCAACACTAGACCACTAGACACTAGACACTTAATTGTTCACCAAGTCATAGAGTTTCCCAAATATTTTAGTGCCAAGTAAGAATCAGCCACAACCCCACAAGTTGAATCCTAATGCTCCATTTTGGAAACACTACATTAAGCTGAACCCAAAAGGCCATCTATAACCTTGCATCCCTTTGTCCCCTGCCAAGTGATAATGGTGGCCATTTTGTGGGGGTCTGTCACTCACATTGTCTCCTGCGGGCTCGTCCTCGGTGGCGGCCTGGATGGCGTAGGCCAGGAAACAGAGGATGGCGCCAGTCCACAGCAGGATGGAGAAGCCACCGAACAGCTGGCGACAGAACTTGACCCACTCGGGGGTGGTAGGGGGAGGCGTGAGGGCATTGGGGCCGTCACGAGCCAGGTACTCAGCGGCCTTAGCATTGGTCAGACCCTGAAGAGGGGGTGAGAGGGAGAGAGGAGGGAGAGGGATTGGCTGATATTTTGTGTGACAACTGATATTACCATTAATGTTATAAAATGTTTAATTTGAAAAGCCCCAACACAGGTTTCGGGAAGGCTTGAGGTCATGAATTTACCTGAACTATATCGGTAGCGTACTTCTGGCATACCTCCTCGATGGACATCTTGTGTTCGGTCTAAAAGAGAAAAGTTGAAAACATTGAATAAATCTCTAGTTTTAACTACATTTTTTCACATATATTGTGAATAGCGCTTGAGACATTTTCCGGCTGTGTTTCAGAGGGATATTAATATTCTCATGGTTTGGCCGTATGCCTCGTAACAGAGTAAATCCTCTTCAAACAGGATTAGTTTACATTGGCATTGCCTCTAACCACAAACGACTATTCGTACCAAAAAAAAAACAATTTCCTTTGCTTGACACCCATGAGATTTACTTAGTGTGCCAACAATAAAATAGATTTTCAGGAATACAGGCTGCCAAAATCCATTGTCCAAACATCTGAGAAGTAATCTTTTTTAAATGTTTTTGTTGTCCCAAACAGAATACACAAAGACTGCCCACTGGGAACACACTGGTTGAATCAACGTGGAATAGACGTTGAATTGATGTCTGTGTCCATTGGGTGCTCTTTAGGATAGTATTTCTCAAACTTGTATTATACCAGTGTCCGGCAAGTTATGGTCCTTCCTCCTTAGATTAAAACTAGCACTTTAGATTAATCTAAATTGGTTTCAGCTAACCATCTGAGGGACCAGTTAGCAACATCCAAGGGACCAGTGCCGGTCCGACGAACACACTGCTCTAGGCCATGGTGCACTGACAGGAAACAGGAAGTAGGAATTATGCACTACACACCAAAGGAACTTCCTTCTTCAATTCATCCATGTCCTTGGTCTTCTTTTCTGCCTTGGAGACCGCCTTCTTGGGGGACTCCTTCTCGTCCTTCTCCGTCGTGGTGGCCACACGGTAGCTATCTGACCGCCCATACTGCAAGACAAATAAAGAGAGTCTCAGAACACATATCCCTGACCAGTCCATATTTTACATGGAAAAAGGTTGGGTTAATATACAGTGTGGGTCAGCTAATCCTAAAACCACCATTTTAGGCTGTGAAAGCCTCAATGCTGCCGTAGTAACTGTGAGTATTGCAGTTAACTGGGCTTCCTGGTGCCAGCTGGTATCCTACCTGCACCGCAGCACCACAAGCTAAGCCACAATTACATAGGAATTCATGCACTCAGATAACCAGCAACATCACTGTTAGCTACTTGAGTGTAGGCCACGATCAAACAAGCAAATAGAAAAAGTGCAAGGCTGCCATATTATATGGTTGGGCATAGCTCCCTAAATGTTTTCCACTCTAGCTTTGTATATTCCACAAGAAGATTATCCAAATTATAACATGTGTATAACATGGTCCAGAATGGAAGGTTTTGTCTAATCAGGACCAATTGGTCATGGTTTAAAACTAGGCTACTTTACTAGGGTTCTGCTATATGTATTACACTCTGAAAATTCCCACCATTTGAGAGTGTTTTGTTTCCCCATTGAAAATGTTTATGTTTCCCAACATTAAAATGCATTTCTGTCATTTTGACAAGGTATGGTCCAAGAGTGACCATGTGTATTTACAGTAAACACCCATTTTGGGATTTTCTTGTCAGATCGGTTTTGGTATCTCAACAGGAAGGCTGCATTCGAGCCAGGTAGACCCCACCTGTGTCTTTTATGGTAAAGACTGCTACAAGCTCTCTATTTTACAGGAAGTGATAAGTTAATGATACATAATGAAAAGGCACCCAAACATGCTTTCTTCCTCTACCATCTCCTCCCTCAATTACTCCCTCCACACCCAACCTCTATTTCACTGTTTCTGTCTCTCCTTTCATCTCTCTCCCACACTCTCTTTACATCCCTCCCTCTTTCTCTCCTTCGTGGACAATGCGAGCCTTGTGAGAGTACAGTGCCACAGTGGCAGCAGTGAGAGGGACCTCACATGGTTGTTTCTATGAAAAGCGCATGACAGTGGCCCCAGGGGCCGTGATGATCAGGGAGACCACGGTCCACAGAGAACGTCCTGAGAACGTCCTGAGAGGATAAATGGTCAATGATAGACCTACTAAACTATGTGCGTTAAATGTGCGTGTTTGTATTTATATGCCTCTTATACACTACATGACCAAAAGTAGTTGTTATGGATGGGTTTGGAAATGTCACAGAATCAAGGGGGTGGATTCTGAATAGAGGAGGACTTACAACGACACCCAAGACAGATAGAATATGGAATAACACCATACAAAAGGATTTCAACTCTTCAAGGAAACACACATACAGTGTATTCGTAAAGTATTTTTCTTTCCCTCATCAATCTACACACAACACCAAAGCAAAGCAAAAACAGGTTTTTTGAAATGTTAGCAAATGTATTAAACATTTAAAACTGGTGGGCCTCCCGAGTGGTGCAGCGGTCTAAGGCACTGCATCGCAGTGCTAGAGGCATCACTACAGACCCGGGTTCGATCCCGGGCTGTATCAAAACCAGCCGTGATCGGGAGTCCAATAGGGCGGCGCACAATTGGCCCAGCGTCGTCCGGGTTAGGGGAGGGTTTGGCCGGGGGGGATTTACTTGGCTAATTGCGCTCTAGCGACTCATTGTGGCGGGCCGGGTGCCTGCAGGCTGACCTCGGTCGTCAGTTGAACGGTGTTTCCTCCGACACATTGGTGCAGCTGGCTTCTGGGTGAAACGGGCGTTAAGAAGCGCGGTTTGGCTGGTTATGTTTCGGAGGACGCATGACTCGACCTTCGCCTCCCGAACCCGTTGGGGAGTTGCAGCGATGAGACAAGATCGAAAAAGGGGGTAAAATACAAAAATACAAAAAATAGAAATATCACATTTACATCATGGCTTTCCAAATGCACTGAATGTGCCAATATGTGCCATATGGTCCTAAAACATACAAGTGGCAATGTATCGTCTCAACCTTAGGGTCTCTATTCAATCACAGTAAGAGAGTAAAATACACTATGAGCGGGCTTTGGGTTTTGTCCCTGATACATTCATGTTGTATCCATCATGTGCAGTCCACAAGGTAATCACATTTCATGGTTGAATTACAGTCTACATCGCTTGATCAAAGACATTGCCACTCAGGGGAGAGATTCAAAAGCATGCAGATATGGATACATAACCTGTCCTATGAGACAACTACAAATCATTGTATCAGCGCTAAATCCCGCAGCTTGACACTTTACAAGATATGCATCACAGGAGCCTGTGGTGGTTCATCTTCCTACTGCATCTCCTTCTGTTTCCCAGAATCTAACACACACAAACCAGGAAGTACCCCTGAGTCCTCCACAGGAGAGCCAAAATGTAATCCACTAAATCCCTCAGTTGCCTAGCCTACCACTGACTGACTATGCTGATAATCCCCTTAAGTCCCTTTGCTTTAAATTAATGATGAAAAGGCAGAGGGGAGAGGGTGGGAAGGGACATTTGGGAGGGCCTTTATCTGTAGGTTTAATCCAGGCTCAGACTGTTGTCTGCTTTGGCAACGGTTTGTGTTTGTTTTCTATTTTGGTAAACTAGCACATCTTGTGGTTTGCTATTAAACCACCAACATCCTGTTATTCTGTTTCTATTACAATCCACTTGCCATGATGATATAGCGACAGAGATACTAGGCCTTATTATGTGTGAGGTGTTGTTGTACAGTATGGGTGTTATTGTAATGGTAGGTGTAAGAATGTGTGTATGTGTGCCTTTAAAATCAAATCAAATCAAAATGTATTTGCCACATGCGCCGAATACAGCAGGTGTAGACATTACAGTGAAACACTTACTTACAAGCTCTTAACCAACAATGCAGTTTTTTTAAAGAAAAATTTAAAAGAAAAAAGTGTTAATTAAAGAAAAATAGAAAATAAAAGCAAATAGCTAAAGAACAGCAGTGAAATAAAATAACAGTAGGGAGGCTATATACAGGGGGTACCGGTACAGTGTCAATGTGCGGGGGCACCGGCTAGTCGAGGTAATTGAGGTCATATGTACATGTGGGTAGAGTTAAAGTGACTATGCATAAATAGTAAACAGAGTAGCAGCAGCGTAAAAGAGGGGGATGGGGTGGGGTGGGGGGCAGTGCAAATAGTCTGGGAAGCCATGATTAGCTGTTCAGGAGTCTTATGGCTTGGGGGTAGAAGCTATTGAGAAGCCTTTTGGACCTAGACTTGGCGCTCCGGTACCGCGCGGTAGCAGAGAGAACAGTCTATGACTAGGGTGGCTTGAGTCTTTGACAATTTTTAGGGCCTTCCTCTGACACCGCCTGGTATAGAGGTCCTGTATGGCAGGAAGCTTGGCCCCAGTGATGTACTGGGCCGTACGCACTACCCTCTGTAGTGCCTTGCGGTCGGAGGCCGAGCAGTTGCCATACCACGCGGTGATGCAACCAGTCAGGATGCTCTCGATGGTGCAGCTGTATAACTTTTTGAGAATCTGAGGACCCATGCCAAATCTTTTCAGTCTCCTGAGGGGGAATAGGTTTTGTTGTGCCTCTTCACGACTGTCTTGGTGTGTTTGGACCATGATAGTTCGTTGGTGATGTGGACACCAAGGAACTTGAAGCTCTCAACCTGTTCCACTACAGCCCTGTCGATGAGAATGGGGGCGTGCTCAGCCCTCTTTTTTTTCCTGTAGTCCACAATCAACTCCTTTGTGTTGATCATGTTGAGGGGAGGTTGTTATCCTGGCACCACACGGCCAGGTCTCTGACCTCCTCCCTATAGGCTGTCTCATCGTTGTCGGTGATCAGGCCTACCACTGTTGTGTCGTCGGCAAGCTTAATGATGGTGTTGGAGCCGTGCCTGGCCATGCAGTCATGGGTGAACAAGGAGTACAGGAGGGGACTGAGGACGCACCCCTGAGGGGCCCCCGTGTTGAGGATCAGCGTGGCAGACATGTTGTTACCTACCCTTACCACCTGGGGGCGGCCCGTCAGGAAGTCCAGGATCCAGTTGCATAGAGATTGCATCATCTGTGGATCTGTTGGGGCGGTATGCAAATTGGAGTGGGTCTAGGCTTTCTGGGATAATGGTGTTGATGTGAGCCATGACCAGCCTGTCAATGCACTTCATGGCTACAGACGTGAGTGCTACGGGTCGGTAGTCATTTAGGCAGGTTATCTTAGTGTCCTTGGGCACAGGGACTATGGTGGTCTGCTTGAAACATGTCAGTGAAGACACTTGCCAGTTGGTCAGCACATGCTCGGAGTACATGTCCTGGTAATCCGTCTGGCCCTGCGGCCTTGTGAATGTTGACCTGCTTAAAAGTCTTACTCACTTCGGTTACAGAGAGCGTGATCACATAGTCATCCGGAACAGGTGGTGCTCTCATGTATGCTTCAGTGTTGCTTGCCTCGAAGCGAGCATAGAAGTGATTTAGCTCGTCTGGTAGGCTTGTGTCACTGGGCAGTTCGCGGCTGTGCTTCCCTTTGTAGTCTGTAATAGTTTTCAAGCCCTGCCACATCCGACGAGCGTCAGAGCCGGTGTAGTACGATTCAATCTTAGTCCTGTATTGACTCTTTGCCTCTTTGATGGTTCGTCAGAGGGCATAGCGAGATTTCTTATAAGCTTCCGGGTTAGAGTCCCTCTCCTTGAAAGCGGCAGCTCCACCCTTTAGCTCAGTGCGGATGTTGCCTGTTATCCATGGCTTCTGGTTGGGGTATGTACGTACGGTCACTGTGGGGACGACGTCATCGATGCACTTATTGATGAAGCCAGTGACTGATGTGGTGTACTCCTCAATGCTATCTGAAGAATCCCGGAACATATTTCAGTCTGTGCTAGCAAAACAGTCCTGTAGCTTAGCATCTGCGTCATCTGACCACTTTTTTATTGACCGAGTCACTGGTGCTTCCTGCTTAAGTTTTTGCTTATAAGCAGGAATCAGGAGGATAGAGTTATGGTCAGATTTGTCAAATGGAGGGCGAGGGAGAGCTTTCTATGCGTCTCTGTGTGTGGAGTAAAGGTGGTCTAGAGTTTTT